GTTTTCTATAGTTCTGTCATTTGTTGTATTTAACATACTAGTTTAAATGTCTCTATACAATATTCAGAAATATACAATTTTTGAGTAAACAATCGTTTACAATGACTTCGTTTCAGTTTCCATAGTTTTGAATGCATAATTATTATTCAGATGGCCAAAACAACAAGACGTATATAAATATATAAATTAAACAATGTCATATTTTAAGATTGTGAACTTTTCCATCAGTTAAGGATTAAGTATATCTAGGATACGTCATAAAAACAATTACGTAAGAAGTAAGAGTTTATTTTATATAGTGTAAGTGTGAAGTGGCCCAACCGTGGGCCACAGTAAGCGGAAAGAATAAATATACCGCTTTTGGATACATAAGTTCGGTTTTCTAAAGTTAATCCTGATGTCATTCGTTATATAGAGAAGCCCGAATCTTGCTCTTTTAGATAGATTGTTCAGGACTGGATTCAGATAACTTAATTTGGTATAAATCGATCTCTTTGCTCAAAGATATCAATAATAATCAGACTTTCTTTAATTCATAATTTGTTACAATATACAATTCTGACCAGAAAATAAACGCTAAATTCTTTTTTCATATCTAGTCAGTTTATGGATGCTGAAGATATATATATCTTTTTCGACTCTACTTAGTTGTAATATGTCTTCACTTCAAAACACTTATCATTTTTTTGGTGACACTGCTTCATCAGGTATATACTTGATGCTTGACTTTCGATATGATAGCATATTAATAATTCGGGGAAACTTAAAATCAGGAAAATACATTTTGTAGTATTTCTTCAAATCTGATCGTTAAGACAACAAATTAGTTGCAATATCAGCTTTATAAACACTTTGATGAAATTAGAAAATTAAACTTTGAAATTTTTATAAACTTTGAGTAACAATCTGGATCAAGAAAATACGACCTATTTGTTTAGATTCAGCAGTAAATTCTGATCAGCCTCTATTGGTAGATAGTCACAATAGGGCTATTTTGTCATATCATATGAAATCAATTGATGGATCATGGCTGGAAGTGGATGTAACGTTTATTCTGTTTAGGACTAGTCAACTTGATGTGCCAGTATCTCAATGTTGATGTACATACTGAAACTTGAACCCAGTACTTTTAACTCCAAAAATCAATGGGTTGTCCGTATTCTGAAATTTACTGCTAGCCACGGTCCCTCTATAATATAAATCATTAAAAAGTATTTTGTTTCCTTTCTTATTCTATTTATTTCAATCTTCTGCTGGCAGGCATTGTAATTACAAATTCTGCTACATACTACTTAAATTTGTCAAAGTAAGCAGCATGCACCAAACTATTTATCTGTTAAGACTTTCAGTATAGGGTTGTGGAAATTGTTGATTTTTAATCGGGATCATGAGGCAATTAATGTTAGACCACCATTGAAAACCTGGAAACACTGGATATGCATTTCTTCTAAGTATATGACTCTCCAGCAGTATATATACATGATCTCATATACGGGACTCGAACCCAGGACCTTCGGTCTCATGCGTGAACGCTTAACCTCTAGATCATTGAGTTGGTATTTAACCGTGATAATGTCTGAGTTAACATTTTATAAAAAAGTAATTTTTTGAGTTTCACTAATCAAAACACAATGTAAATCAAATGTTACTACTGATATAACTAACGGCACTAATAATATGATATGCAATAAGTGTTTATTATATTACATCCATGTATTAGTACATTAATTATATTTCCAATTTAATCAAACAAATAAATCAACTAAGTTCAATGTTATAAACGGAATGTTCTTTGATATTCTTCTCTTTTATTTTCCCAAGAAAACAAAAAAGTACCTTTTTTTATCCATTTGTTTACTTCAGATGGATTACTTCAAATAAGGAAGTCTAGTATAAATTTATTGGTTTCTATCAATCATTTTTCCTAAATTCTTATCATTATTTTGGTTGAATATATCACGATCATAATCAAATTCAAATGTATTTCTTTTTGTGTGTATAATTTATCCATTTATTTGTAATGGTTACACAATGAATCTGAATTTTCCCTCCAGTTTAAACAACAACAACAAATAAACAATGACGGTAACTATAAACGTTAAGTATTAGTTTACAGTTTGACAAAAACAGAAGAAAAAAGTAAAATATGCTTATCTTTTTCTTATTATTATTTGTCCGAGAAAAGACATAAACACATTCTATCCATAAATATTTATTCACATGCTTGGTTAGTTTTCTATAGATAAGATTAGCAATCTGAATATGTATGCTTTGATATATCATAGATTGGGTTTCGGTAGTGAGAAAGATTATTATATTTACTAACTTAATAATGAGCAACATTTATAAGAATATTCTTAGACTGTTATTGCGTTGAATATGTTTATTATTATTATTATTATTTTATAGATAACATTCGTTAATAAAAACCTTTGTTTTTATAAATTAAGTATATAAATATTTGGTAGAAATATTCCTTTTATAGGGTATGATCTGTGTTGACAGGAAAAAAAAACAATTACGGTGAGAAATCCGGAAATTTCAGAGGTCTTGATAGCATAGAGACGTTATTTGTTAAGGCTGTAAAACGAATAATAGATTACGGGTGATAGTCAGTCAGTCGGTTATAACCTAGGACCAGGCACATATATGCATTGGTCCATGTTGTCATACTTCATTAGCACAACAAGATGAGCACCGAATTCATAAGAGCAGTTAATTCAATGGTGGTAATATATTAAAGAAAGATTACATATAAGGATATAGTACAGGAAGAAAGAATTAGTTCGCTGAAATAAAGGTAGAAGGCAATTTTAATCTCATAGTTTAAGGGAAGACAGAGAGCGTATACACCTACAATATTGTGATCGATTTAAGCCATGTCACCAAGAGTCTCCAACCATGGGTTGCGATAGTCACGCGGACCCCAACCAAGTAGTCTGCATCCACCAACATGGCTCAGATCAAAAGTTAGTGACTTCAAGCACTGATGCCACGTTTTAGTTTGGCCGCCCCTAAATTTATTTTGACCATCTCCAACACTGGTCAGCACTGTGCGTCAAGGTAATCGGGATCTAGGCATACGTACCACGTGGCCCAACCATCTCAGTCGACGAAGATTCACAACCTCAACAACTAATTTACCATCATCCTCTAATACCTTGCGTTTAACCTAACTATTTCTTACCCGGCGATCCCAGCAGATGAGAGCAATCCGATCACAGTGAATGATTTTTATTTTCGTATGCTCTCGGTAGTAAATATTTCTTGGTGAAGAACTTAATAAATTATTAATGGCAGTAAAGAACTTTACATTTCTTTGTCTACTGTTTATGTCTTCGGTTTATCTTTTGTACTAGTACAGCAATCCCATATTCAGCTTCAACTGTGGTCTGGTATCTAAATGCTCACTCTCGACTCGAATTCCTATGGTTTGACTCCTGGGACTTTTTGAGAAATCCTATGCTTGGTCAAAAGTTGTTCGGATCTTGCCGATTTCCAATGATATTCTAGCTGTCGTCAACTTGTGAATAAAAATAGATGTATCAGCCATTAGATGAGCGCTTTACTTAAGATATATATATATATATATCGGAAGTCCTCAAGATTTCGTATGATTTCATTCAAGGTCACATATTGAGAATGTAAAGGAAAACTAGAAGAACATAAGCAGAATTCCTAGGGATAGAAAAGTGAAGTAAAATATCTTGTTCATATATTTGAATGTTTTATTTTGTACCTGGGTAAATGTTACATTTAATATTTTAAATTTGCTTTAATCAACTATTCTTATATGCTAATAACATGATTTCAGCTTGTGAGTTTAATGTAAAGCTCAGAAAACAAATAGATAATAAATACTTTGGAATTGAAATTGAATTATGACAATGGCTGGTATACTTTCTTTTTTTATCTTTTCACCGAATAAATGATGGATGATTAGATTGGGGTTTATGGATCAAATGTATGTAAGATGAGAAATTTCAATAGAGAATTTCGCTACATAACATTTTATATACAAGTGTACAGCGTTGAAGAGAGTATTTATTGTTGCTATTATCGTTTTCATTATTAATCTTACATTATGACATTAAAACTAATAACATCCTTGATAAAATACCCTTCATAATGATGTAATCAAATTCTGGGAAAAAATATTACTTCCTGTTGGTCTACCACAGTTAGTGAAGGCAAATAATTTGGAAAAATGAACAAGTACTACCATGAAATCAATAGAAAGGTCTACTCATATGGAAGTTTTTAAACAAGTAATCTGACAAATATAGTGTATTAAACTTTCATAGGCTAAATAATACTTATTTGATGGATTTTAACAAACACAAACATTAAGTCTAAAGATTTAATAATATTCTTATTTGTGTGCCGAAGTTTATTTGAAGTTAGGTATTTTAAGTCTATTAACTTCATAACACTCAATATTTTTATATCAACATCTTGAATTCAATATGAATCAATCAAGACAAGTTTTATCACTGAATTGAGCTCAGCTGTTAGGATCATCGGGAATCAAGAACCACTAGTAAGAAAACTCGTATTATTTTAAAACTGTATGAAGCCATAGCCGTAATTAGAATAAAGAACAGGATTTCTAGTTTAAACGGTAGGGTCTATACTATTCATACAAAGTTAGAGGTCAATTACATATTCAGTATTATTCAGTTTTAAGAAAAGTTCATCAAAGTTCTAGTGGACAGCAGATATCTAAATAGTGAAACGGTTAATACAATATGACAAACGATCAGGGACGCGCTATTTCATATTCGATCCAAAATTTTAAACATAAATCATATGGCTCCGGCCTAGTAAAATCATTTCAAAATAAACTATCACTTTGTAATAAGCTCTTTAAAGTTCAAAGTTATTGGTCACTAGTTTTTACTGTTTTTTGAGTATCAATTATGAAAATAAAAGAGAGGCTACATCTGATGAGTTAAAAAGCATCTATGAATAATTGTATATATTCATATTAAAACACAAACCTACCTAACCAAACCAGATGGCATATAACTAATTAATGTAATTGCATCAGCTAATGACATTGCAATCATATAAGCATAAGCAGCTCCTGAAAATTGTGGTCTACAAAATATAATCACATTCAATATATTCAATATAAATCCAATAAAACAAATTATAGGTTGAATATAAAAATAAATAATAAATTCTGTTAAAGAAATTGAACAATCATTAAACTTTTTATTATTTAATTGATCACTATCATTAAATAATAATGTTAAGTTCAATAAAGTCTTTTCTTGATGTTCATTATTAGTTGTATTTATAGGGTTATCAGTATTTGCATGACAGCATAGTAACAATAAAATTGTCACATATGATATTATATCTTTATTAGGCTGAAAATTTAAACTATGAATTTTATATCCAGCTAATAAAGTTGTTAAAGTCATAACAACTCTAATCTATTTTGAATAAGTTGCTATGTAAGATGAATATGTATAGGATTATAAGTCATAATATAATAGAATGCATAAATTGGATTTATAGAAGATGTTAATTTGATTTAAAGTCCATAGATACCATTTCCCATATCTTTTTTTAAAAATTAATTTTATTCCATATGTTTTAGGATAATATGGAAACTATAGCAATCGTATTATTGGTTATTTCCGAACTGTCATCTTATCATCAAGTAACCAATCATACTTAAGTAAACTTGAAAAAGATAACACATAAATAAATTATTCGTCCATATTAAATGAATTTTTACTGTCTTTTTATAGATCGAAAAATTATAAAACATTTGACCAGGTTTATTTAAGATTAAACTACCTCGGTATAGCCATAAAAGATTTTGAAAAAAAGTGCTCCTGTATGTGTGTGATAAGGAACTAACTAATGAATTAAGTACCTTAAATACGTTGTCAGTAGGAAGGAATGACGTCGATTAAGTCAGTCACTCAGTGGCAACTATATATGTGGAGTGACTTAATTTGTTACAAATAAAGTCTTGGTTTATAGTTTTTTTTATATTGTCGTTCAAGACAAGACGACTACAAGCATTTAGAATTCGAAACTTTTAAGCAGCACTGAATAAGAGGTTTGGTAACTCAGGATAAACTAAACTGGGTGTAGCACAGTCATGCAGAAATGACATTATATCGTCTTAGTACTGAATCGTCTAGATAAACTGTTGTAAAAAATGTTAAATTATGAAATTTAATGATACTGTGCGGGACCTTGAGCGTATACATGTGAGTACAAGTAAACAACGGCGTTGAGAATCTCTAAGGTTTTCTGATTTCGCTAACGTATACAGCTGATACCGATTCATCATAATAACACTTTTTACAATGAGCAGTGATTCTAAGTTGTTTTACGGAGACTAATACGTGATGGGAGAGAAAATCAGTAATTCATCTTGAACATTTGAGATGGTTAGTAGAGTGAAAATAAGTTATATAATACAGTTGTGGATTGGTTGAGGTTAGACATTAACACCATTGGATGCCGGCTCAATGGTCTAGAGGTTAAGCGTTCGCGCGCGAGGCTGAAGGCCCTGGGTTCGAATCCCGCAAGCGGGTTATGTGGATACGAACTGCTGAGGAGTCCCACGATAGGATAAAACGGTCGTCCGGTGCTCCCTGGTTTCCATTGATGGTCTAACATCAATCAGTTCATGATCTCAATCATAATACATTTGTTATTGTTTTTTTGAAAATCAAGAGTGAAAAACCTGAATCTTCATACTCTCTAATCATCTTTAAAGATCTGACTTTAAAACAATCATGAAAAATATCTGGCTTAAAACGTTTATTTGTTTTACGTACAACTGTATTTGCGAATGTTGTAGTAAATGGATCTTTTCAGCTTTGATTATTTGAAGTTACTTCAAATCATAGGCAGAATTTAGCTGAACAAATGTGAAAAATGAAGGGGCTATTGACCTTTGTTTCATCCTAACACGAAACGCCATAGTAATAAGCACCCATGGCCTTGTCAGTAGTACACGTTTTAATTTAGAATTATTGAGTTTAGACCCAACTCTTCATTCCTCAAACTTAAGTCATTTAACGATACTGCATGATCATCGTCCATCACAATCGTTTGTGATACCAGATATTTTGAACTCCAGAGGTCTCAGACTCCCTCTGCAACTGCATTCTTGTTTAAGTTGATTACTAGTGAGCACATATTACAAAATAACATTATATATAAATGAAAATTATCTAATGACTGAATTAAATAAATATTTTCCCTTAAAATATATTTGTCATGTTAGTTTGAAGAGGTTAAGTTTATTTGAAAATAAGACAAAGACAACTGTTTAATCACTAAACTATTCATAAAATATACAACTAGATCATTTACTTTAATACTCTTTGTCCTTAAATATTCTATGAAATTTTTTTAAATTTATGAAACGACTTTTTACCATTTTGTTTGGACAGTATCAGCTGTCAGCATACATCATATTTTAATCTAAAGCAATTAGTTCGTTTTATAAATTTCGATAGAGCAATTAGAAAACGGAGTTGATCTTGTTTTGTCCTCTATATTAAATAGCATAATTTTGACCTCATTCCTCCCAAGTTATTGTTATTCCAGTGACTTTGATTCTTAACAGAAAGAAAAATATGTTTTTGAAACATTCTTTAAAACAAAATACATGTTTATATAAGCAGATGTTTTTGAAACTGATTGATTAATTAAGTTCTGATAATATGTTGAATGGAACTTTACTCGCTACGCTTTCAACATCATTAGTTTAGTTACGATTTCAACATCATCAGAAAACAGTTAATGAAATAAAGTTTAAAAGACGACGTGAATAGAGATGATAGTGTCATTATAAGATTTAATGAATAATATATTACTGAAAACAAATCAACCGGAGTATGTATGACTACCTTCAGTGACATAAGTATTGTGAGAACTAAGTCATTTTATATTTGAGGAACCTAATGAAAGCACAACATGATATGACAAATCAAGTAAGAATTTACAAAATGAGATAAATTTAAAAATCTATCCAATTTTCATTCAGAATTGTTTTGCTTGAATCTTCCCATTGAGGTTTAAGACTACAATCGATCAGTCTCTTATTGGCATACGTGCATACTGTGCGTATTGCCTCGATATTGCCCTAATTCACAAGCTTTTTGCAAGCAGTGATGGATAGTGGCTACAAGTGAAATCCAGTACGCGCACTTCGTTCTATTTGGGACTTGTCAGATGGAGGTACCTGCATCTCAGAGTTGACTTTCACTCTGGGACTCAAACCCAGTACCATTCGCTTCAAACGCCATCGCGTTACCCACTCAGCCACAAAATGATCAATTACAGTGTTAAACTTCAATGAGAAGATTCAAGCAAAACAATAGCAAGTGAATTTAAATTGACTCGATTGCACAAACACATGGCTATCAGGATTCAGTAACTGAGTGGATAACGCGATGGTGCTTGAAGCGAATGGTACTGGTTTCGAGTCCCAGAGTGAACATAAACTCTGAGATGCAAGTATATCCAGCTGACAAGTCTCAAATAGAATGAAACGCGCGTCCTCGATTCCATTGCTAGCCACTATCCGTGTTTGCCTAACCAATTTTCTTTGTAAAATCAAATATAAATTTAAAATGTAAAAATCGAAAGCAATTTCATAGCTCATAACACCATTCGGTCATAAAGAATTAGCAAATGAATTATATGATACATCTGAAATAAATCATTACGTTGAAAATTGATTATCATATCTCACATAACATAAATTATTCTTTAGAATACGTATAATACATATTTCAACTTTAGTTAATTTTGCGATTATCGAGATCCTGAACAATGCGAATAAACTTAAAGTGTCCTTAATCACAACTCCGCCTGGAGTCCCTCCGGGGGCTACTGCCGGTCCCAAGCCCGGATAAAGGAGGAGGGTTGGGCATGGGGTTAGCGTCCCCATCCCTTAGAAAACTAACTCGCTAAAAAAACGCTAACCAGAAAAAATTATTCAAACCTTTTAAACTCTGCCCTGGGAGTCAGAAGATCTTCATTTAGAAGAATTATGACGCCTCATGATGAAAGCCGAATCCCTTCGGAAGTTATGAGGCCGATGCCCCTTCTGACAACCAGAGCGACCATTTATTTAGGTACATGGAATGTTCGTACAATGTGGGACACCGGAAGAGCCTTCCAGATTGCTGCAGAAATGAGAAGATACAACCTAGAGGTACTTGGGATCAGTGAAACACATTGGACACAAGTTGGACAACAACGACTAACCACAGGAGAGCTCCTGTTATACTCCGGTCATGAAGAAGAAAATGCACCACATACACAAGGAGTTGCATTGATGCTGTCCAAACAAGCACAAGATGCACTTATAGGATGGGAATCTCATGGACCAAGGATCATCAAAGCCTCGTTCAAAACAAAAAAGTGGGCATTTCAATGAACATCATCCAATGCTATGCGCCTACCAACGACTACAATGAAGACGCGAAAGATCAATTCTACAATAGGCTGCAGTCAATCGTCGAGAAGTGCCCAACAAAGGACCTGACCATTCTGATGGGAGATTTCAACGCCAAGGTTGGAACGGACAACACTGGATATGAAGACATCATGGGACGACACGGACTGGGAGAAAGAAACGAAAATGGTGAGAGATTTGCAAATCTATGTGCCTTCAATAAGCTGGTCATAGGCGGCACCATATTCCCACATAAACGCATACACAAAACCACATGGACTTCACCGGATCACTCTACACAAAACCAAATCGACCATATTTGCATCAACAAAACGTTCAGGAGGACTATAGAGGACGTGAGAACCAAGAGAGGAGCTGATATAGCATCACATCATCACTTACTGGTCGCCAAGATGAAATTGAAACTCAAGAAGCACTGGACAACGGGGCAGACAGTATCACAAAAGTTCAATACGGCCTTTCTCCAGGATACTAATAAACTCAACGAATTCAAGATAGTCCTCAGCAACAAGTTCCAGGCCTTTCATGATCTACTCAATGGAGAAGGAACTACTGTGGAGAGCAACTGGAAGGGGATCAAAAAGGCAATCACTTCAACATGTCATGAGGTCCTGGGTCACAAGAAGCACCACCACAAGGAATGGATCACTGTTGATACACTGGATAAGATTCAAGAAAGAAGGAACAAGAAGGCAGCAATCAATACCAGTCGAACAAGAGCAGAAAAAGCCAAGGCACAAGCCGAATACACGGAAATAAACAAACAAGTGAAGAGGAGCATCAGAACCGACAAACGTAACTATGTGGAAGATTTAGCAACGACGGCGGAAAAGGCTGCAAGAGAAGGAAACATGAGAGAACTGTATGACACGACAAAGAAACTCTCTGGAAATCGCCGCAAACCAGAACGACCAGTGAAAAGCAAGGAAGGCGAGGTAATCACCAACATTGAAGAGCAACAAA